CCGGCGTGCCCCATGGCGTCTTTTTGGAGGAGGAATCATAACAGAATCGCCTCAGATATCTTAAGCCAGGTTTGGGAAAGGCTCTCGCTCTCTCTCTCTCTATATATATATAGTATGTATATATCTATAATATATGTATATGTATATGTATATATTTATATATGTATATGTATATGCATATGTATATATATATATATGTATATATGTATATATATATATATGTATATATATATGTATATATATGTATATACATATATATATATATATACATATGCATATATATATATATGTATATATATATATTATCTCCATCTAGTGGCCAGGAGGGAGCGGTTCGGAGCTAGAGGTTCCATATTCCCTATATTCCCCATTGAATGGGGAACCAAAGAGCTACTTGGATGGTTTTGGCTGGCGTTCCACGCTGGAATCGTAAGTTCTAAATTCCCCTGGTCCGGTTGTGCAATTACCTGAATTGTCCTGGAGTACAACTTGCTAGCTATAGCTAAGGAGACACTTGCTACCAATCGTAACTTTCACGCTTGAATCGTAACTTCATTTTCAACAGAGTGAAAAGGCAGATGGACAGATCTGACATGGTTTGTCGCATAGAAAATTGGCCCCCTCTTAGCAGTTCTGAACTTTAAGCAAGTCTCGTTCCAGGGTTGGTTGTCAATTGCACCTGGCGGGAACTTCCGACTTCAAGCCGTAAGAATCGGTTCGTTCTTTAAATGTCTTTTAGTGCTACTCCGCATCCTCAACCTTCCATCAAAGCACTGTGCTTCGGAGATCTTGGGAGCAAGTCAGAGGAAAAATTGTTTTCAGGACCCTTACAAGGTGGTGCCCCCCAAGTTATAAATGGGTTATAATCCCATTAACTATAGATATATCACCTATAAACCATAGTTATTGGATTTATAAACCAGCTTAGCTAACGAACTGGGGCACCACCCTGTAGCTAAGTCCCAAGTGCCTCAACCTGACCTGCACGCAGCTTGGACCAAATCATGACACGCGTCAAGGGACCATGGACCATGGACCATGACCGCCACAGTTCAGCAAGGACACAAGTCCCATGACTTAGACACGTCGGTGTTGTGCCCGAGCGTTGCTGAATCATGTTGTGCCTCAAAATTGGGGGAATGCAATTGAACACATCAATTTACACATCAAATTGATGTGTTTCCCACTTTCTGTTTTTTCGATCAAATACACAACTGGTTGGTGGTTTGGAACAGTTTTTATTTTTCCATATATTGGGAATAATCATTCCAACTGACGAACTCATATTCTTCAGAGGGGCAGGTCAACCACCAACCAGACAAGTTGTCTGGAACTGACACTACCCTCTGGTAAACTAACAGTTCACTATGGAAGATCACTATTTTATAGCTGGGAAAATCAACTATTTCGACTGGGCCATGGCTTCAAGTTCGCTTTTTGTATGTTTACCAGAGGCTACTTATATCTACCATAAATCCATATATAAGCCATATAATTAATCTAGTTATAGACCAACTGGGGGGGCCTCACCTAGCTCACCAATGTTTTTCAGATTTTTTAGCCATCTTCTCACCAGGTCAGATCGTTCCATCCTTCATCCCCATCCCCAAACGCCACCGGATCACAGTGATCACCATGACCCGCGGAGAACAGGATGAGCGCCTTGAGTGGCTCGGGATTTTAAGAACCGGGAGAAAAATGGGGATTTCTGGGGGATAAATCACTGATAGTTATGGTTCCATTATAGCTATGTATATATATGGGGGATATATCAAGTGATGATTTGGGTGTGGTTATGAACTTATGACTACTATCGACTACTTATGACTATAGCGGGCCCCATATAGTGTGATTGTACATGATTGTACAATGTTGTATATGTCTAACAAAATCTAACAAATTAAGGTCCAGGGATCAAGGGACCGCAGATCGGAAGGCGCGATTGCGGCTGAGCGTCAGAACCGACTTCGGGGAAGTGCTACATCTGAACCTGAACCATCTGATAGTATAACAAGCTGAATCACGACCTTCCGCGAGTTGTTGCGGCAAGAACCAAAGCCATTGCAGATGCAAATTTGCGCGGAAAAAGGTGGAACAAATGTATGATCAGCTTTACGCCAGTGGGATTTGCCAAAAATCACGAACCTCAGTTTCAAAATGTTCAATTCCGTAGAACCGTATCAAGCATTACCTGTTGAGCCAGAGGCATTGTTGCTCCCATGCCCCTTTCAGATGGCAGATGATTGCGGTTCTGAAGCTTAAGTAGATCAGCTTGGGGAGCAACATATTCTGCAATCTTTTTTTCTTTCCCGAAATCTTAAAAAAGCGATGATGATGATGATGATGATGATGATGTTGATGATGATGATGATGATGTGAATCCCACCACCCAGTCGGTTGAGCTACTCATATCATTTCGAATAACCACAGATTTAGCTACACCAGTTAAACTTGCGTCCCATCGACAAGTTTGGCAGTCGCCATCTACCCTTGGCTATCCCCACAGAAAACCATCCGATGGTGTTTTTTCTTTGATCCCTGCTGAAAAAGTTGTGCAGACCCCATTGCCAAAATACTACGAGCGAGCGGAATCGGAAACAATGGGTAAGTAGATGCCTCGTATTGCCGAACAACCAAACAACTTCTCAGATCCTCAATGACTAATGACATCCCAACATATAAAACCCTAGCAGACCCCAAAGTTAAAATATCCCCTTAGCCTTGCTGGCTCATACCAAGGGCCGGTATTAGCCGAGGATGCCATCTTACTCGACAAGACAAGAGCAGTTCTGTGGCAAAACTACAAAAATCGTATCTGGCAAAAAGAAAAGGAAACAAAACAAATGAAATGACTGAAATAGCCCTGCAATAGCCTCTGGCTAGTTGCACTTAAAATGCCTCGTGAAAATGGGTCAGAGCTAATTCAAACGGCCTTTTGACAAGCTTGAGGACAATTCGTACAGACAATTGTTAATTAACTCCATTAGTTGGGTGTTTCCAATCTGCTTCCACTCACAGCGGAGCTTCGTTCAGTTGACTCTAGCGTAGTTCCAGGACGTCTGCGATACGGGAAAACCATGAAAAACCGTCCCCTATTCACACCATGTTCGTGAACATGTTCAGTCAAAACATGTCAAAACTGTATCTTCTAACAACTAGGGTACCCCACGTTGCGGTCACTCTTTAGTATTAACAATCTTTTTCGATTTGCCCCATGTGTTTGCATTGATGGTAAGATTCCCTTTGCTTCACCAAATTATTCCCATATTCTGTTTCGTACATCCACATAGTATGCATATACGTATAGAATCATATACACTGATTTTTTGGGCTTCAATCCTGACATACCCCGTCTTGGGGGTGAAGTTGGGTGTAACCATGGTGGTAACCCCTCAATTTGGTATGATTGGGATACTGTATAACCCTGCATGGCAAGGGTAAAGGCAAAGGTGTCCGGAGGTCAAGATCGCCTTCTACCAAGGACCCATCAAAGACCTTTTGTCATTTCCACTTCAACAAGGGAAACTGTAAACATGGTGACAAATGTCAATACAGTGGGATAAGAGGAAGGACAAAGGTGGCAAAGGTAGAAATGGCAGATCATCAATGCCGAGAAGGTCACAAACCCCTGGAGGCAAGAAGGACCACAACTGCTACGGATGGCTGAAAGGTGACTGCAAGAAGGGCGACAAATGCACTTTCAAGCATGACCCCAGCATGAAAGGCAGAAGGGCTACTCCGGCAACCAAGATGTCTGATGCAAAGGCCGCTCCGGCACTGGTCCGAGAGTATGACGACGATTTCATCGTGAATGCAATGCCGAGCGAGAAGAAGTCCAAGATGGATACAGCTTTATCAAGCATCCGATAGCTAAAAGCTGATCACCGTGATTGGCGGATGATTGAATCCCATCCCATTAAGCATCATCAACCATCATTAACCATCAACTTATGGTTGTTTTACTCCCAATAATCACTATTGATCTCCATTCAAGCTGGATCCAAGCTCCATTAAATCATATGACGTCCGGTTTTAGAATCCCATCAAGTCCCATCAAAGTCCGGCTAGGATCCCATTAAATTCCAATCAAAACCCAGTAAATTCACACTAAAATCCCATAAAGTCCCGTGGAATCCCACTAAAACCCATCAAATCCATTCAAATCCCATGAAATCCCTATTGAATCCCTATTAAATCCCTATAAAATCCCATGAAATCCCTATTGAATCCCTATTTAAATCCCACTAAGATCCCATTTAAAATCACATTACAATCCCAGTCCCCACGACTCAGCTCTTCTTCGCTCAGGACAAAGTGCAGCCTCGGGCTGGGACCAGGAGCTTCCGGAAGTGTCCCTTGGTGGTTGCCCGTTGCGCCTGAATCGGTTGCGATGACTTTTTTTTGCATGGGTGAGTTACGGAAAAACCTCACAGTGACCTCAGTGAAAATGTTGATGATCCTCAGTGAAAATGTTGATGATCAATTATGAGGTCGCTGCTATTGATGATCATTGATATTATATACATATATAATCATATAGTTATATATATATATATATATGTATATATACATATATATATATATATGTATATGTATATATATATATACATATATATATATATGTATATCACCAGGTCGCTGCTATTCAAGTATTCTTATGATGTACAGCAATAGCCCTAACAAAACACAAAAAACAGGGATGGTATAGATTCAGGGGAAACAACCCCAGAATTAATCATACCCCATGCTTCCTAACGGCTGGATCCATACGGATATATACATTGTCAATCAGCTATAGTTCCCAATGAAATCCCCATTTTTGCTGCTTCAATGACCATTTTCCTATGGTGTCTATAATTTTACTATATGTGAAATCCCATTAGATCCCATGAAATCACTATAGAATCCCCATTTTACATGACTCCTGATGATTTCCCAACATGTTCCTTGTTTTTTTTGTCCAAAGAAACGACGTAGCAAGGCCGTCCTCCAACCGCAAGAGCAACTTTCGCGACATCGCCTCGCGCGCTGCCACAGCCAGCCGAACTCTGGCGCCGTGGCAGACGATCGATGGAGAGCTGGGGGTGGGAAACCAACCATGAATGGGGAATAGTTTGTTTTGCAATGTTGCCGCTTCAAAAACCCTGCAAAATCTTCAAAGTCGTTTCAACGTTTGCTTCCCTTGTTAATCTATAAAACGACGAAGTCGTAGTCGTATGCTTCCACTTCCTCCTTATGATTATAAGTTGCCTCGTGTAAAGCTTTACTACGAAATATGCACACGAAAACATGATAACACTTCCCTGTCCCGATTCTGGTGGGGTGGGAAAGGGCGCGAAAGGTTCGCGAAAGTTTTGGGGATCCATAAAACAACCCCCATATATAGACAACTATGATTACAATAATATTAATACCCGTGATAATCATGATGATGATTATTGATGATGATGATGATGATGATGACGATGACGATGACGATGACGATGACGATGACGGTGACGATGATGATGATGACGATGATGATGATGATGATGATACTGATTATATTGATGACACTGATGATATTGATGACACTGATGATACTGATGATACTAATGATGATAGATGTTTTTTTAGACAATGGATATCATGGGTATATAGTGAATATTTAGATAAATTATATATATATATATACACACCTCATAATAATATTCATACTATGAATCATAATGACAATATATTCCCTCTGGTTATTTGACATAGCCATGGTATAGATGGCCCATTTATAGATGGTTTACCTATTACAAATGATGATTTGCATGGCTATGTTAAATAACCAGATGGGAACGTGGATGACTTACAGGATGGCCCCCCCCAGTTATAAGTTGGTTTATAAACCAATATAACCTCCATGAACTAGTTCGTTATATCTACCATAAACCATAGAATTCAGCCACTTAGTTCAGGCAACTTGGCTATCTTGGGAGCCCCATCCTGTGCTGATATAATGGGATTACAATGGGAATAATTAGAATGGTATAATAATGGGAATATAGTGGTTATATGGCAATATAATGGGGATATGGGAAAAAGTTTATGGTATGTTATGACCTCACTTTACCCGCTTGCGCCCGCTTGCGCCGCAGGTGTCGCGCCTGAAATCCCGTCCCCCCAGGGTCAAAGCGCTGAAGGACTCCGAAGAGCTGAAGTTGCTCGGCGAACGCGGCGGTTTGCGCCAGGAATGTCCCACGAAAAATGGGCGATTTTTCATGAGAAAATCCTGGGAAACATATAGAAAAATCCATGGGAAACATGCCATGATCCGTGTTGCAGAGTTTCTTTCTTGAAACCTTGAAGCATCAAGGAATCTCTGTATAGAAAATATGAGGAATTCTTTTGTGCATGGGCTGAAGGTCATTGTGGTTAGTTGTAGGGGGATATGGTGGTTTCCGAAGTCATAGGGGTACCCCCAAATCATCCATCTATAGATGGATTGTCCATTATAAACCATCCATTTAGGCATTTAGGGTTACCCCATTTATGGAAGCCCCCTATGCCTCCAATGATTATGCTTTGATATAGAAAAATGTACAGTAGCTGTGTGCACTTTCCACTGGTTCCACTGGGAGCTGGGTGGAGCTGGAAATGAGAAATGTTTTGGGAGTGATACGTCCGAAAGTGTCATAATATCTGGGTAAATTATAACGACCTCACTGTGACCTCACTGGAAATCATGGTTAATAAGGGGAATCATCCCAAAATGGCCTTATTTCAGGTTAGTGAAATATTATAATTTACCCAGATAATATAATAATATGATATGGCACGTGTGCTTTGAGGATCTTTGAGAATCTTTGAGGCCTGCCTCTGAAGATGTTTGTTCAAAACAGATATAGGCAAAAAAAGGTATCAAAATCAATAAATACTCTATGGTAAACTAGCATGACTTTGGAAATTGGTCCATTTATAGATGATGTACCTATTAATCATAGTGATGTTCCATGACTATGTTGGTTTACTGGAGGCTGAAATAAGGTCTTTGTTCAAAATCAGTCCAAAATCCAGGAACTCTGAAGCTAATCGGTTTCAGCTTCCAGGACCATTCAACTTCCCGCAGGGTCAAAGAATGGCGGTAGATTGATTAGATTGAGGGCCTGTTCAGGGATTATATGTCCTATGATATATTTATACTTGAAATTTTGTTTTGCATAGTTATTCGGATGTGCTTTGCCCAGCTTTGCCCAGCTTTGCCTCTCGTTCATAGGATGAGGTTGCAGATACAACACTAACATTCAAGAGGGCAAGAGGTGCCAATTCATTGGTGATGTGGTTGAAATTAATGTTGAAATATCCCATGACGGATCCATGGTGCTGGTATATATGCTAACATGACTGGGGTATATTGATGGGATCCATGTTACCATATCTAGCAGCACCATGGATCCGTCATGGGTATTGCTGTTCGGAACCGCGGGGTACCCTGCATCCAGTGGAGCCATCTTCCCCCCTATGGCCTGGCTGATTGGTGCTGGGATGCTCATCCGCCACATCCGATGCTTAGAGAGTTGCCGTTGTCGGGAGATTTGGGGTATATCTAAACCCTATTAAGTATAGTTATATCATAAACCATAGAATTATTTATAGTTAATAAGCATCGACTATAGAATTCGGCCACAGCCATATCTCAACTGAACGCTATCTGAAGGGTGCCCCATCCTGTAGTTAAGCCATGCCGCTGAGGAGCCAGCTCTACAGAACAATACATGAAGGCCCAGTCGTACGATCGTTGGCTTCGCTTTATTCGTTGTTTGGCTTGTGTAACAAACATTGAAATTTAACCCCACCTATATATATATGCGGATGTATGTAGGGTGTACATATATAATAGGAAAATCATAAATCATGATATATTGAATGGGCACATGATCTATGATTGTCATTGTCATTGTGGATATCAGATGATATCAGTGGGATCTGCTAATTTGCCAGGTTAGATTACCTACCGGAGGGTGCATAAACTGCTGCAACTTATGCTGGGGAAACCCCGCATACGATCTCCAAGAGCAAGTATCGCTGGGTAGTAAATCACATTCTACTGGCAAGTCTGTTCTGGCATATTGTCAACGTAACATGACATGTTGATAGAATCTCCATGGTCAATACAATATAGTGTCCATGCTTAATATTATCCATCGTTGATAGTAGTGACATCTATCTAATGACAATGATCTCCATGGTTACCATATGTTACCATTGAGCATCAAATGTGGGGGTATCAATAATGCTCTGGCAACATCTTTCAGGATTTGAAAGGAAAACAGCTAGGCAGCGTGAAATGATCCGTTGCCATCAGGCAAAGCTGTCTACAATGTGGAGTCCTTGTACAAGGAGGTTGGAGTCACACAGAGAATCGCCCGCAGCCCCTTTTTCCAGCCACTTGGCGGTTTGACGGGACACCCATGTTTGTCAACCGTGAAATCCACGTGGTTCATATTGTTTGTGTCATGTTTGTGTCTGAGGGGCATTCTAGTTCCGTTTTTCGAAGCCGAAAAAACCAAGCTGCAAACGGTTGATGTCTTTGACCCATGGAGAATTTACCAAGTGGACTCGTGGACACTGGCGACAGAGAGGAGGTACCAGGCCAGGCTGCTGTGATTTGGATTTTTCATGTAACCTCCCAAAACTGACCGGACACCAAGGCCGGGTGAAATGTGATACTTCAGCAACATTGCACATATATGATTATATATATATGATTATATATATAAATATATATTATTATTATTAGTATTATTAATTATTATTATTATCATTATTATTATTATCATTATTATTATTATACATATCGTTTCATGTCCACCCAAAATTATAGGCAAGCGCCCCTTCGACAGAATGCTTGCGTTTTCTTGCGCCGAGGAACATGACGCTCTTCATGATCCTAAGCTACGCGCTGTGGTTGTCCTATGACACTGTACCTTGGTGAAAAATGGATTGGTTTAATTGGGAAAAATACAGGAAACCTCAATGTTTCATGGAATTTTTGATGGTAAAAGCCATGATTTCCGATAGATTTTCCCTTAAACCAATCCAATGATATGTTGGTTGAATGCTGAATTGAAATGAATTGAATACATCTGTCATGTTATTCATGGCAAACTCCACAAAGATAGAAAAATGAAATTCTACTAGCACTGTACCAATCTACTTTGCTATCTACTCGGAGGCTAACTATAACAATGTTAGTGTGTATCCATGCACTGTAGATTGTCCTTTTTGAGGCTTGAAGATGGAGTTGCTACATAGTCCACTCAACATTCAACCTATACCAGCAGTCCAACTTTTAGTAAGCGATCGACTAATAATCCAAAAGTGGTGCGGAACCAGAGGAGAGAAGAACATCCTGAAACGAGCGGTTTCACTTTCACACAAGGACACAACTTGTAAATGCTGTGGCAAACTTCATACACAATCATACACATACATTTTACTTCCACCAATGAGCGCAAAGCAGGGCTATGAAATGCTATGATTTTCCTTGTGATTTTCCTTTGTGGCAAGGGCAAACTTGGCTCAGGTGACTCAGGATTGTTTGGCTGTGCTTATGGCCACATAAGCATACATAAGCCACATAAGCACCCGGCTGCAGCCTAAGTAAGATAACCATGAAAAAACCACAAATAATCCTCAGTTTCGCCAGACATGGTGTGAACTTTGAATGCGTTTGCCACATGAAAAACAGCCAAGCTGAATGATCAATGGATCGGTTTACAGTAAGGGAAAATCAGGGTTTACAACCATGGCTTTTACTTTAAATCAGAGAGTTTCCGGTTTCAATGTTCCCTTCAACCAATTCTGGTAAATGAACAAACCCCCATCCTGACAGGAGCCACCCGAAAGGGAGATGAGAACAGATCCCTGCCGGTACGCCATTTAAAGGGCATCTAAATGCAAACAACATCAATGAACATCAAGATGATCCATGTTTGGGAATTATATATACATATATATATATATACCTGGAAAGCCGTAGTTGCCTATTGTTTCAGGCTACTTTGGCCTGGTAGCCCCTTTTTGTGGCACTTTGCAATTCTCACACCAAAAAAAGGCACTTCATCTTTTGCTGCAAAAATGACCATAAAAGTGCCGTAAATATCCGTAAAGTGCCATAAATACCCGTAGAAATCCTACTCCTAAAATGGTATACTTTCCAGTGACCAAAATTTCAGGCACTTTGGAAAGTGCCCAAAACAATGGGCACTAGGCTTTCCAGGTATATGCTTATGTTTTTGTTTTTCTATGGATAATAGGTAGAATGAATAGGAACAAGGTGGCCCCCCCGGTTATGTTTGTTGGTTTATCCATCCCATGAATATTATACTGTAGTTAAATGTAGTTAATCTATATAGTTATAAGATGTTATAAGTATCATAAACCATAGTGAACTTGGAGTTTTTGTTACCCACCAACTTGGCTATCATTGATCAGCTATCCCATTGGTTGCTGGTTGAATCACCATTTTCCTATTGTGAAACCATGGTTCAACGGGGGGCCAAAACGTTGGGAAATCCATTGGTTTCCGCCCAGGATGCCAATGATTCGCCAACGTTGCTGGAGGCCCAGGTGCAGTTTCAGGTCATGGAACATGTCTTCTGCAGCCTGGTGCAAGATGGGTCGGTCAAATCATAGGGAAATCTCGGAAGATGAAGCTGGGAAAATGTAAGTTATATTATATCCCATAGGATCCATGTATGGTATATATATGCTAACATTTGGGGTATATTGATGGTACATGTTACCATATATAGCATACATGGATCCTATGGGTATGGACGTTGATAGCTGGGAAAATCAACGAACTTATTTTTGTTGGGGGGGATTTGCTTCCGGAAATCTGGGGAACACTTGAAATGCATTGAAAGACATGTATATGTATAATATACATATGGAAACTCAAGATTTATGTCCTAGCTTTGGGCTTGAACATGGGTGAATGGGGATCTGATGGAGTTCTGGGATTGTGGTCCCCACTTTTCAGAAAACTTCAAGACTTCACCATAGTGAGGCTTCACCAAGACAGGCAAGCTGATTAACGGGTAAAGGTTTTTTTTAGGCATGAAGAAAGGTGATGTTTCTTTGCAGTTTTCTGTGTTTGTTTGTATTGTCTATAGTTTGTTTGTCTTTGAGTTTAATGCGGTATCCCTAAATCCAATATTATCATTGAATCAGAAAAACAACATAGAATCAGAATAGCCAAATTGGGCCTACCCCCCATTTTCAGACATGGTTTCTACCTAAGCCAATGAAGAGTCCAAGTGGGGGAAAAGGCCTGCCAATGATGTTGTTCACC